CCGTCCGGCGTGCAAATGCCGTCGTTCACCTCAGGGGGTGCAGCGGAGAAGGGGCAGGTCCGAGCTGAGGCTTTGGGTCGCTCCCACACTCGTAGGAAATTACACGCTCCTCACTGCCACGCGACGTAGCGTAAAGTAAAACGAGCAAGAGCTGCCTTTGTGCATCTAAAATGACTTTGACCCCGTGTCCCGTTAACAAAGTGCCCCGAAACACGCAGAGTTTTGAAGGCGAGCTCTTGATGCGCAGAAAATTCCAGAGCCCTTCACACCTAGATCAGAATCTCCGTGCGAGCCTGTGTTGTTTTTTCACTCTTGCCCCACGCATGGTACTGAAAAACCTCTGATATTAGCTAGGCAGTCAAATGTGCTATACATCATAGAGACATTCGGCTGTAAGTTTGGGTGGTTTTTAACTGGACCAAGCGTACAGGTAACGGCACCCTATAAATTAACATACAGCAGAGGGAGAGTCAGTTGTTCTCTTTATCTTGATGTTTGCCGGTCACCCCTCTTTTAATAAAAAGCATCACAATTTGGTTGTTTTTTTAGTACAGATGCAATATTCATTTTTCCCTTAGTTCGTCACATGCTGATAACTACCGTTATGGTCTCGAGGAGGTTAAAGCATGTTCAACCCGAAGCTTAATAAAAATCAGAACGATTGTGTTTATAACAACTTAAAGGTATCACGAAAAATAAAATTAATTTTCAATAGGAAGGAAGAAGGAAATGCAATTATATTTCTGATGTCTCTCAGGCTCTCTGGATGCAGCAGAATATTAACTCCATGTCTGTTTTACGTTTCAGAAGTCACCACAGTGACAGTAGCCAACGTTGGTGCCTCGGCAGACAATGTTTTCACTACATCTGTGGCAAATGCAGCTTCAATTTCAGGACATGTGTTGGTAAGTGTCCTTTCATTTGAGGGCCTTAGCAAAGTCCCACGTACTTTCTTAGTGTAAAGGAAGAGCTCGGTTTGTGTTCGAGCTGTAGTAAGGTCAAAGATATGTTTTCATTGCACTATAAAGGCTTTAAGCCACAAAACCATTAGCTGGGGGACATACAGTTTTTTCTTTATCACTTGGAGAGGGTTTTTTTACCTTTCCACCCCCATATTCTCATTCTGTAATGGAACTGACGACCTGGAACATGTAACCTTTGAATTTGGCTGGCTGAAACCTCAAAAACTAACCTAATAACTGCCATACTGGTTGGTGTTCTAGGGTACCTTTGGGAAGATTTGGGGGAATACTAAAACACGTTGGTATTTTAACTCTATCAATTCAAACTCTCTATTTCTTCTGTAGTCTGGGAGAACAGCCCTCCAAATTGGGGACAGCTTGAATACTGAAAAAGCCACTCTCATAGTGGTTCACACAGACGGCAGCATTGTAGAAACCACAGGGTTGAAGGGGCCATCAGCACCTCTCACACCAGGTATAAGGCAATCTGTTTTTGAAGTGTCTTTCTCCCGGAGGGGTCTCTTTTTCTCCACTTCAATTGTGTTGCTAGGATTAAAAAACATTATGTGCATAATATCATGCCGTTGCCTTATAAGGATTGTTTGTCCCCTCTTCACATGGTACTTCTTGTATTTCTTGGGAGTAGAATACTACTTACTTTTTTTGTTTTTTTTTTTTTCTGTCAGAAATATATTTAATTTTCTTATTCTTTGCCCTAACGCTTGCAAATAAGCTTCTTGAAAAATCTTGCCCGGCTGCTGGGCGGTCGCATGCCTTCCTACGCCCATCCCGCCCCCAAAGGCAGATGGATCATTCTAATATCGATAATAAAAATACGAGTCTCCTAGTTCTGCACGTGGGTGCTTTTTAAAGGGTCCTTGCATACGGTTTTATCTCCATTCAGGCCCCTTGCTGGTATTTAAGTGTCGCAATAGCCTGTCTCTTTATTGCTAAGGGTTTCGTTCACGGCTGCTTGGCAGTTTCCTTTCCACCCACGAGATGGCATGGCAAACCTTCAGCCGTCTAAAACACATTACAGGGTCGGCCTCTGGGAAGGGGAAGACCCAGCCAGCTGCTTGCACCACTCCAGGTTACAACCGCCGCCTTTAGTGCGCTGTTAGAGCGTCTTTCCTAAGCTGCGGTTTGGTTTATTTTCAGTCATTTTCAGAAAGTTCAAGCTGAATTTTTTGTGGTGCACCATGTAAACTCACGTTGCTGTGGAGAGGTGCCAGCTGCCTCAGTTAACCACTTGACGCTGTTGCCCCAGCCAAGCTGAGAGTGTGAAGGTGTAGCGAGTGTGCTTTTTGGTTGCTGTCACCTTTCTTTTCTTTTTTTCAAAGGACCGCAATCTCCTCCTACCCCTTTAACATCCGTCCAAGAAAAAACTGGAACCAAGTACAACTGGGACCCGTCTGTGTATGAGAACGAGCTCCCGGTGAGGTGCCGGAACATCAGTGGCATTCTGTATAAAAACAGACTCGGCTCAGGTAACAGCGACCTTCCTGGGTGAGGAAGTGTGACGGCTCCTTCCTCACTTGGTGCACTCTTCTTTTAATCGGGCTACTTTTAAGGGCCGATCGTGAGGAAAAAGAAGAGAGTTTCCTAGCCAGCCTAGTCCCTTTCGATACTATTGTTCTCTTCTGTTTTGCTCTTTCTTCAGAGGCTTTTTAACTTTTTTCTTAATCTGTGACGATACAGGCTGCTGTGCAGTGAGTCTCCCCGGAAATAGGTTGACTCCTCTTAAGGTTCTTTTTGTCTCAGAAGTATGTTTCTACAAAGCTCTACCGAATCCCTGTTGGAATGGAAAATAGAGAACTTGTCTCCTAATGGGACTCCTTAGCTGCTTTAGCCCCTCCTCTTCTCTTTTATCTCGGTGGGAAAGCTGAAGAAGCAGCAGCAGAAACTGTCTGTCCGCAAAGCCTGACTGCACAGCACGGCGCTTGCTTCATGGATAGTTTTCTTCACGACCAGAAGGATTAGAAATTTAAGTGCAAATTAAGGAAGGGCTTAAATTCACGGTGTTTATCCAAGAAAGACTTATCCTTCTTGTGGATGAGTAATTTTTTCTAGCCTTTTGATGCATTGGTGAGGCCCAAAGTTAGAGCTTTCTAAACATGCAGTCTTTGTCACAGCCAAGATAATAAATGGGCATGGCTATCCTGGAGTGATAAGAAGTAGCTGATGGGCATATTTGGTGATTGCTATAGATTAACTGCCATTTTGTCCAGCAATTTCAGTATTTACTTCTTTAGGAAAGTGGCAAAATGATTCTTAACCTTTACTAGCGATTTCTTCTTTCTATTTTATTTCAGGAGGCCGTGGTAGGTGCATTAAGCAAGGGGACAACTGGTACAGCCCCACTGAATTTGAAGCTATGGCGGGACGAGCCAGCAGCAAGCACTGGAAGAGGAGCATCCGCTATGCTGGGAGGCCACTGCAGTGCCTTATTCACGTAAGGTTAAGTTTGCTTCCTCCTTTCTGCTGGAAGGGGCAGGCAGAGTCTGGGCAGAGTTCGCCCAGCGCTGCAGTCCAAGCCGTGTGCGCTGCCTCTGCAGAGTTATGTGTGATGGTGCCATGGGGCAACTCGGAAGCAACATTTACTGGAAGAGGAGCATCCGCTATGCTGGGAGGCCACTGCAGTGCCTTATTCACGTAAGGTTAAGTTTGCTTCCTCCTTTCTGCTGGAAGGGGCAGGCAGAGTCTGGGCAGAGTTCGCCCAGCGCTGCAGTCCAAGCCGTGTGCGCTGCCTCTGCAGAGTTATGTGTGATGGTGCCATGGGGCAACTCGGAAGCAACATTTTGATTTGGTTGAGAATCAGTGGTGCGAGAGGAATTTTTCTAGGTGTGTTTTCAAATAGCACAATACAAATCTTGCTTGTACTTGAAAAGGGGTTACAGTTTACGCGGGATGAAGTCCAGCCGTGAGCTGTATCGCAGAAATTGAGAAGTGAGTTCTCACCCATGATACTGTAATTCAGTAACCTGATCTGCTTAATTCTGTTTGCCTGACAAACGTGTTCTTCACTTGCACCGTTAATTGAGTATTACTTTGGGTCCTTTATTTCCTGCAGTGTCCAGGAGTCTCATGGAGAATTTGGCACTGCCGTTGGGTTGACGGTTGATTTCTGCTTGGGCAGAAACTTTATAAAGTCTCAAATTCACGTATCCTTGCCTTTTGATTTGGAAAGTGTTTGTTCTTCCTTCACTCTCCTCCCATCCGCTCGCCCCATCACTATGATGTAGGGGAGCCGGCCTCTCTGTGGTGGTGTAGGGTCCCTAGGAGGGAATGGGTACGTCTCGCTGGGAGCTGTCTGAATCTTTCAGCGGAATGCGGTCGTGCTCTCGGTGGTTCTGGTGGCTCTAATGCTGAACTAGCAATCTTCCAATTTCAGGATGGGATTTTAAATCCTCACGCTGCCTCTTGCACTTGCGCTGCTTGCTGCGACGACATGACTCTGGTGAGTTGTAGGTTTTACATCCATTGGTTTAAAAACAATTAAGCAGTCAGGCTGCCACAGCCAGTTGCGAGCAGGTGATGAGCGTCCTAGAAATGTTCACAAGTACTGCGGTTGCAGCGTGCTTTGTCCAAGCTTCATAAAGAAAGGAGATAAGGAACTGCTAGCACTATTGCATAGCAGCCTCAGTAGAACTGGATAATAGTTATTGCTTTTTTCTTCTTCTTTTTTTCTTTTCTAAATAATGTATTTATGTAAAATGCCTATTAGGGATGTCAAAACTATTTGTGGTTTTTGACTCAAATTTCACAATTTTTTGAGTTGGAAAAAATGTTTCTATAAGGAAGTAATGTAATACTCTATGTTGGATCTATATTTTCATATTAAACTGCTTGGGTTTTCTGGTTGGTTGGTTGGTTGGTTTTGGGTTTGGTTTTTTGTTTGGTTACTTGTTTCTAAAATTAGGTTAAAGTCCTGAAAGCGGAAGTCTTTAGCTTGACTTGAAGTAGTGTTTTGCATTTCTTTTCTGCTATGACCTGGATGATTGCCTTGTTTCTTAGACCTGAAACTAACTGCTTCCTGTCTTCTCCTCACTCCTGTTCTCTTCTCTTCCACCGCCTTGGCCAGCAGTCAATTATTTGCCCAGTTCTGCTCCTTAAATAATAGTGGGAAGAGGCTGAATCTGTGCCTCTTCAGCTGGAGGGAGCTGAGCGTAACTTATTTTTTTTCACAGAGTTCTTTTGGTTTGGAGAAGTAGGAGTTTTTTGGTCAATTGTTGCAAACCACACATCTTCCATGGGGATGCGTGCTGCTTGACCTTAGCTGCATCTGGAAAGACGAGAAGTAAACCCAAAGTCCCCAGAGAGGTGCCTCAGCTAATGCCTTTTCCTTTTTTCTTTTTCTTTTTTACTTCTGTGTTTTGTCTAGAGCGGCCCTGTACGACTCTTTGTACCATATAAAAGGCGGAAAAAAGAAAATGAAATGCCTGCAACTCCCGTGAAGAAGGATTGCCCCAAAAACATCACTCTGCTTCCTGCCACAGCTGCTACTACATGTAGGTTCTTTGGTAAAAATTGCTTCCCTTTTTTGATAAAGAGTTGCCATGCTAGATACTTTATGTCTATCAGTGGCCCCTTGGAACTAGCCAACTGAGAAAAATGTCTTATTTTTTGCCACTTCCTTTTCATTGGATAGTTTTATTGGCTCAGTGTCTTTAGCTAATTTTACTTCCTATTTTGTAGAAACTAGCACAGTGTTGCCACGTTGGGACTGCAAGTTGAGTACAAAAAAGTGAGACTCGGTTTTAAGCATCTTAACATCCTTTTGCAGTGAGCAGTAGGTTTCATATTTTGTTCTGAGAGAGGTCTGGGTTATATTTCCCCCCTCTGCCTGCTCTCTCAGCCTGGCAGGGCAGGGGGAGTTGGGGAGTCCTGGCCTTGGTCCGTAGTGGGTTTCAGGTAGGTTTTTCACAAATGACAATTGAGAAATTTCCTCCTGTTAAAATTAGGTTGAGGGGAAGGCTGGCCCTTCTCTGCTCTGCTGGAAATCTCCATTCCATCCCCTGAGCTTGGTTTTTGTCCTTTAGAAGCTGGTGGGGGCTATAGAGTAAGATTTGTGCTATTTCTTGAAATATGTAGAAAAGTTGGCTCTAAGTGGCTGGAATGAAATCCACAGCCTGAAAGTCGTTAATGAACGAGGCAGAAGGTGATGCTTTCATCTGCAGATTCCTCCCTAACATTCAGGACATGCTTTGTTACTTACTGTTTTTGATTGTCAAACCATCTGTGTGAGAACAGAAATTAATTTGCAAGCTCATCCAGCTCACACGTTCCCAGTCACATTCATGCGTCCTCCTGCTCTCATCACACTAGCAACATCTGGATGGTAACATTACAAAGTGAATTGAGGAGGAAGCAACAGAAATCCAAAACAGAACAGCCAAAAGTAAGATTAGATTACCAGCAGCAGCAGGAAGAGCAAGGATTCTATAGAGTTTTGGGGTTTTTTTGTCCCCCAAAGAGGTTTAATCTGTATTGGTTCATTAATGTGAGGTGCTGTGAGGTCGCACGTTTGCTCATGCTGGCATAGGGAGAGAGGAGGACTGCTTGTTTCGGTAGTAGCCACATATTTCACCAGGCATGAATCTGTAGCCTCAGTGTCTTAAAATTGAATTATTGTTTGCGAAAAGATCCTTCTGGCTGAGCAGTGTGCCACAGAATCAGCCCGTTACCACGCAATGGTGCCAGGTTAATTAATCCTGTTTAAAAAGGCGTTTAAGCATTTTGGAGCCACTCGGGTATATTCATCCAAAAGGATTTTGTGACTTGTTCCTTGCATTGGCCAAGCATATTATATCACTCTGTGTAGACAGACAGCTAAAATCGTCCAGCTAACCAAACCGTCATAGAATTAGTTGTAATCCACAAGTTTTTTATGTCGCTTTAAGTAGTAAGATCCACTCTTGCTAAAGTTGTAATAAATCGGGATCAGCCAGAAGCTGATGGGTTTTGTGGCCTCGCTGGATCTTTCCGGTAGGTGTTAAGTGTTTGCTCATAGAATAATTGAAAAGGTGGTGATTTGGGAGGCAGTATGTTGTAAGTGAACGTTCTGGCCTTGTACACCCAGCAAATAAACAGAGGCCTGCAGGAGGCCAGCAGTGCCTTCAGAAGCCAAATGGGGCTTTTATTCCCATTTCCAGTTGTCTTGGTCATAGGTGTGATCCAAACTTGGGTTATCGTGGGCCATTTACTGATCTGTGAGTTCTCTGACTTTGGATGATTCAGAACAGGGATATCGACAGCTAAACAACCGAGGCCTCCGCGCTGAGTGTTAATTATGAAAGTACTTCTAATATTTCCAGTCACCGTGACTCCTTCTGGACAGATCACTACCTCCGGTGCTCTGACATTTGACCGTGCATCGACAGTGGAAGCCACAGCAATTATCTCAGAAAGTCCGTCCCAGGGTGATGTTTTCACTGGAGCCACTGGTAAGAGTTCAGGTGTATGTCTGCTAGACATCCGTGAGAAGGAGGAAAAAAAAAGGTTTGGGTGCCCCCTGCTATAGGAAGAAGCATTTTGAATGCTGCACGAAGGATTTATTTCTCAAGAGCTTACAGAGAGACAATACGTAACCCGCTGTCCTTCCTTTGAAATGATTTCAGCAGCTTGAAATCTTACCAGTTGCACAAAAGAAGTTAAAAGTTTTGTCCAGATGTTGCAGCTGCTGATGTACACCTCTGCTGATTTCTAGGGTTTTATGGTCATCTCTGTCATTTTTTTCACTCCTCCTTCGTCCTAAAATAATACCAAGGAAAGAAAACTAGCTGAGTGTTGAAACTAAGTGAAAAATGCTGAATAAATGCTGAAAAATGCCAGAATAAATCAAACACAATATAAAAGCATGACATATATTTCAGTTCTTTCAGTTTGATTCATACACGGCGTTGTGAGCGCTGCTGAGGGAACTATCCGGCTCTGAGAACCGCAGTTTGGAGGCCTGTGATTATTGTAAATACGTAGGTGTGCGGGAGGGAAGCCAGCAGTAACCTTTGCCTTTAAAAGTGAAAGCAGAGAGAGATGAAATCAATACAAAGTTGCCTTGCTTGCTAACTGTGTAAAATCACGCTACTGTTTCTCATTTGCAACCCCTGGAATTATCATTAGAGTGTAGGAACTTGTATAAAATGTAAAAAAAAAATGGGTGAAAGAAGCCTAAGAAATGCCCGACAGCTGTGTTATACAGTGATTCGTAATGCCCTTGTTCTTCTGCAGTTCAAGATACCAATGTCCAGCAGCCTTGCCGGGTCAATCACCCAGAACCTCACTATCCGAGTTACCAGGACAACTGTCAGATTTCACCTTTTCCTGAAGCCGCACTGCCAACATCTCATCCCAAAATTGGTACGTTTTATGTCCGTCATGTGAGACAGTGAGCAGTGCTTGAATTTACTCTCTAATCTTCTTTCTCAGCAAAGGTAAAGATTGAGGCAGAAAAGTAAACTTTGCTCTGTTTTGCTGACGAGTTTTGAGGTTATTAAGATTTGGACAAGCAGATTTTCCACTCTGTGGAAAGTTTTTCACTCCGTTATTGAGAACTGTGATTTGTTGGTTTCTACCAGAGGAGGCTGTTGTGATCCTGCTTCCTAAATCATCCTGCAGTCCCCTGCCTTTCCTAAGGCTTTTGCTTCTAGGCTTTTGTCACCACTTGGGCACTGTGGCTAACGTTTATTTAGCGTTTGATCTGAGGAGACCATCCCCTTTAAAATGATGTCACAGAAGCTTTTCTAAAAATTCTCACATCTCTTTATGAATCCACTGGTAGATGCTGGAGGCAGTTTCGGGCAGGTTTGGTGTGCTACTCTCGCATCCAGTGTCAGTTTTCCCTCCCTTGACACTGACGCTTGTGCTGGAATGATAGGTGCTGGTTAACAAGTGCAGTGAGAGCCTGCCCTGCTGTGGTCACGTAGACTCTGGAGTGGAAAAAAAAGACAAGAGGGTATGAAAAATGACGAATGCAAATCAGCCCTTTAGTGTTTGATAGGACGGGTTAAACTGGTTACCAAACGTCTCTTCAAATGTAACTATATTACGTAAACTTAATGGCCTTTCATTTGTAGAGCTGACCGATAAATTAAGTGAACTACAATGCTCCTACTGATAGAAACTGGAACTGCAAACTTGGAGTGTTGTTCTTGCTTTATGTGTTTTTATCGAGCCTGGACAAGAGGTACAGCAGGGAATAGTCTGCCACTGGCTGGCTGATGGATTAGGCGATTTCTAGGCCTTTTACTTCTCTAATTTCTATGATTCTGTGAAGTTACTCTGATAATTACTGATCTTGCTGACACAGAGGAGCTGTAAGGCAGGTTTTGATCCCTGTTACTGTTCTCGCAGACATCAGGAAAAGATCATGTAAACATGTTGTATTCCTTTGTGCAGTCTGAAGTCTTTCTTTTTTAAAGCCTGTGTTCTCCTCTCTGTATGACCTTTTATTTACTTATTTGGAGTAGCACAGTGCGTTCCTGCTCTGTCCGGAACGAAATCTTGTTGTTGGTTTTCAATCTTAGTCAGATCTTGATGTTACTTATTAAACATTGATTTTTTTTTTCACCGGTGAATACTTTCTCTTGACCGATATACCTATGTCAAAATAAGGAATCGGAAGTAATTCCTGTTAGATAAGTTATCAAATGCCATGCTGGGATAAATATTGTGCTGGAAATGTAGCAGTGGGAAAGGCTCTTCTGCAAGCAGCTACTGATAAAAGATCGGTTTACCTCTTACTCATATCTAAGCGCAAATAGTTCTACGCCAGTCATGTGGAAATTGATTGAAATTACCGTTTTAATTAAGGGCTGTTGAGCGTAGAACATCTGCTTACCTGCATGGTGAACTTGCAATGCTGTCTGTCGGAAAAGGTCGCACAGGTAACGCAGGGTGACCTGCAGTACCCTGGGTTTTGAGACCTGTTCTCTCCAAATCTGTGCTGGATTCTTCCAGCTTTTGCTGCTTGCATGAAAAACTACCAGATATGACTTGAAAAGGGTTAAAGTGTTAATACACTTAAATTAGTTGCTCTCTTGGAAGATATTCGGTGTTCAGTGCAGTCTTGCAAGAAGTCTTGTTTGTCTGCAGATGCTCTACTAAGGAGGGCTTCACCGTGAGCGGAACTGCTGGATTGCAGCCTGGTACAGGAAGGTGTGTTGGCCTGTTGCTGTTCAGGACAGTATTTATAGCTGAATTTTTTCAGGATGGTATTTACAGTTGAATTTTAAGTACCATTTGAAGTGTAGTCAAGAAGATTTTTTTCTGAATGGGGGGCGTCTACTGTTCTGTGTTTTTAACTAGGTTGTGCAGTTTGCTATTCCGTGTCCCTATCCTTGAGTGAGAGAGGTTTGAGGCTTGTTTCTGCCTTTCTTTTTGGAGCCACCTTAGACAGACCGGCGTGCCAATATCTGTAATGACATCCAAAACGGATTGCGATGGGAGACTGATAACGAAGTAAATGAGAATAAAGTGCCTTTCAGGCACTTCAGCCTCTATGTTTTGTTCAAGAACGTCCCGCTCAGTACATTTCTCAACTCTGGTTTCAAGGCAAAGAATCTGGCTCCAGTAACGGCCCATTTTGATGAAAACGATGCTCAGTACCCAGCAGTGCCTCTGTGCTGCCTGCAGCTGTCTGCGGGGCAGTCCCCTGTAACGCTGCAGATGCTCAGGGACATTGCCGCTGTGTTTTCTTCGGTAGCATCAGCAGTGCGGGAGCTGGGTGGCAAGCTGCCTGGCAGAGGCACTAGAAGACTTAAGAGTAATGCCTCTAAAAGAAAAGCAGACACTGGCGGGATGCGAACAGGATTTAAATGGCTCAGAACTTCTGAAGTTGCATTCCCGGCTGTGTTCAACGTTTCTCTGAGGGCCACAGCATCCATCAGTTGGAACGGTCCTGCGCTTTTTAGATGAACGTTGTCACTCACTGTTTCAAAATCAAGGAAGCTAATTGGCTTTTGGTGCCTGGAATACTAACAGCTCTCCCCTTGACAATGCAGAACTCTCCAGGAAGGAATGTGGTTTCTCAGCTTGCAGTACTCACTGCTTTTTCTCTGTGCTGAATCGTTCTGAAACTCCTACCTAAAGATGTGAGGAAAAATCCTGAAATAGACTATTAGTAGATTTGGGGGTAATAAGACTGCACAGCCCCGAAGTTGGTGGTGCCATCTTTTTTCTAGTAAACAATTTAGTGAGGAATTTAGAGGTCAGCTGTTGGTAGATGTGAATATCTTGGACTTAATTTTATGGCCGATGGCGAGTACTTATCGCTAGAGTTAGAGTTAAGTTTTGGAAAAGTAAGGCCAGTAAAGCCAGATAACTTTCGCTCCTGGAAATGTTGCCTGAGGTGAGCTTACACCGTGTATTGTCGGGTTCCTGGACCTAGATTTAATTTCCTCCCACTGTGGTCTCCCAGTGTATATGCAAACCCAGTGTTGTGAAAAGTGGACATTTTAGTGACACAGTAACTGCTGGTTTTTTGAAACATTTGCAAAGGTAAGGCTAAGACAGACATTGTTGGTTTTCTAGGACTTTCATTTTCTAACACAGGCTTCGGGAAAGGGAGGGCGGCAGAGCCCTGATAACGGGGGGGTTGGAGGCGAGTTCAAGGAAAGGGCGATTGGGTTACCGGGACAGGAGTTCAGCTTCGTTCTGGTGGCTTCCTACAAACCGCAATTACTGTTAAGATTATGGTTAAGATATGAAAAAGTAAAGGCTGCAACACCTCAATAATTGTTTGGTTTGGGTTTTTTTTCTTCTTTCAATGTCCCTTGGAGTATGTTTAGAAGTATTGCTGGGCTTCTGTACTTTTGTAGTTAGTTTCATGCCTGTGGCATTCTAGTTTATGCAAGAGTGAAGAGCTGTAGTTAGGGTTCTGGAGCAAGGGGCCGCAGACAAGAAATTGCTTTCTTGAAAACTGTCCAACACAGTCAATGTAAAGCAAATGTCAGGAGACGTTAGTGTCTGAAACTAAAACTTCCACCTGGACTGTATACATCCACTCTCACCTGTAGGATTAGGCAAGGAGAGGTTTCAGAGCTGCAATGAGCATTGCTGTTCAGAATACCCAGGATATTTGAAACAGATACATATAGCTGTGAATGCCTTTTATTAAATTTTTTGGTGTTTCAGTGTGGTATGTGTATTTTTATGCCCATAGTTTGTTTTGTGGGTAGGATGCAGGATGAAGGGGTCCAAAGAAATTACAATTGTTGAGAGTTTTTTTTAAAGGGCTTCCCAAGCGGTGGTTTTGGAAAGCGCGTGTTTGTAATACATGTAATTTTGAGGTGATGATAACTGTCTTGTTTTTATTCCAGCCTTGGGCCAGGGTTATGGTTAAGATCAGAATTCAGGAAGCGTAGGGGAGTGTGGTGTGGATCGGTGCCTATTCTTTTGTGGTGTTGCAGCCTGAGAATTGACATCTGTATAGTGACATCAGAATGTTTCAGAAAACTTGACGGTTTGGGTCACTGAATGACTTATTGTAACCTTACTTAGCGATAGTTAAGGGAAACATTAGGTGGAACATTGTGATGATGGTGGCGGAGGAGGCCCTGGGAATGCTGCTTTCACTGCTCAATTGTGCTTCTCTGCAGCAGTGGTGGAAGGTGTTCATTCCTTCCCGGAGTAAACAATAGGATTGGGAGTACATGTTCTTCTGTCCTCTGGGTTTAACAGTCCCCCAAGGGCTTGTTCTGCACAGACTGATTCTGCGCACTTTGGGTCACAGAGGGTAGGTCTGCTTAACAAAAATTTAGCTGGATTGGGAATTTTTGCCGACCGTATTTTTAAAAAAAGCAACTAAACAACACAACAAAAAAAACCCCCACCACTTTATGGAAATTAAATGCCCTAATCCTATATATTTTCTTTCTCTTTCTTTATGTTCAGTGTTAACCTCGCTCCCTGCCCTGGCGGTGCCCCCCACGACCCCCACCAAAGCCATATCCCCTTCGGTGGTGAATGGGCTGGAAGTGACGGAGCAGCGGAGCTGGCTGTACTTGGAAGAGATGGTCAATTCATTGCTCAACACCGCCCAGCAGCTGAAGACTCTCATTGAACAGGCCAAACAGGCCAGCTCCTCCTTCCGCGAGGCTGCTGTCACGCAAGCAAAAATTCAAGCTGATGTGGAGAGGAAAGAGGTAATTATGCCAGAGGAGGTGAGAAGACTCGGCCAAGGGCATCTTTTTGGCTGAGTGATGAACAGAGTAGTACCTCACTGGTTGTCGCTGGCTGTAACAGCGGTAGCCCTTAGAAATTGTTTCTCAATGCCTTGAGAGCAGTATTACCAACAGAAATCGTTCGGAGTTATTTGTATCATGGGGAAAGGAATAGAGTGCTCTGGGATTCCAAGAGCTGTGGGTAGCAGGCTAGTAATACAAACTGTTTGGTGTTACGAGTCCTGAGCTGTCCCCATCAGCCATCCTTAAATTTATGAGACGTGGGCACTGAGTCCTGGTGTGGGAAAGATGGTGAGTGTTCAGCCATGCAGCGGCCGCTTTCTTTATGTCAAGTGAGCGGGGCTATCAAAGAGGGTTTTGATGGCCCGAAGAGGCAGAGGGATAAAAAGAACAGCAAGCTGTAGGGTTTATGGGGAAGATAAGCGCTAAAATTTAGAGGTGTCTTGCTGAGCATTGTGCAAGCAAAGCTGATCTCGCATGAGTCCTGTGGTAAGACTGCAAGGCCGGCTGGCATTACAGGAGTATTGGCTTGTACCCAGTGGCCCTTCTCTCCTCTGTAAGGGGTGATCGACAAGGACTACCCTGTTCTCCCTGCTTTCCTTCTCTTTAATTGATGCATGGTAGGGACCCTGGATTCTTCTTAACATCAGCTCATGCATGCACCCTGAATCTGGCTCCATGCACTGCTGAATGCGTTCCCCTTCTCCCCCACATCCACAGCTGCTGGTGTGGACTTGAGGGAGAGAGGTGGGGGGCAATGTACTGTGAAACTGGTGTCATTGTCGGTAGCTGATGAACTCCCTTCCCGTACACCACGCTATCTGCTGTTGCCATCGGCGTTATTGCTAACGTCAGCTTTCCACTGAATTCATAGGCACGAGTGTGCAGCAAGAGACCTTGAAGAAATGTGTGTGGGAAGACTTTGCTGAGAACTGAGAACCCCTATGACAGTCCTTGCAGCGTCTTTGATATTCTTTGCCACGTTGTCTCTGCTAAACTCTTCTGTACGCTGCATCCTTGATGTGCAGGTGTGTGATACGTTGAGAGTCTAATTCTTCCCTGCCTTCCGCCTGGACAGAATGGGTATTCGTGCTGCTGTCCAGGTTTGGGCCGTCTGCTGCTAAAAAGCTGTGTAGAGCGTGGGATACCGAAAAATTGGAAGCTTTGACACAGTTTAGAGATGAACATCTGACTTTGTTTAACTTCGCTCTCTGCTCTTTTTCCAGTTCATGTGCTGTCTTCCCTTCTGTTTATCCTTACCGTGGTTTCTGGAACGGTTGTTCAGAGCCCGTTCCCCTCACCCTCTGATCCAAATCCAACTCACTTCAGTGTACTTCTAGTTTCTTCTTGCCCCGGGAATGGGAGTTAAAATCACTCCTGTGTATTGATTAAAGTGCTGACTTTACAAGGCAAGGATGAGCATGTGTTTGTTTCCAGAGGAAGTCCCTTTCCCAGTAACTATACAACTTGTGTGTCTTACCATTCTTACTGTGTAATGGGTACCTCAACGGTTTTGTATTTTGATAAAAACACTTACTCGTGGTGGTATTTTTTTAATATCCGAATAACAATTCTCAAGCTTGCGGCTGTGTGCTAGCTTCTGGAACCATCCGGACGATATTGCAAGTAGCTATTTCTGAACTCCTCCTAGTGAATTCCATATTTGGAAAAAACTCTGGGTTTCTGGGTACAGGCCTGGCATTGGAAGTAATTACAATAAATGTCAAATAATTGGCTGTCTGCTTTTGTGTTGGTCAAAAGTGCTTTTCCCGATTTCATGAATGTTTCCCCGATTTGTAACACAAGTCTCTTTCCCACCCCGAAGATGTGTGTGGCCAGACTGCTTTTTTTGGCAGTTAAGGTATACGAGAGGGAGAAAGAGGTGTCTTCCTGCCTTGGTTCTTGTTGATTTTTGCTGGACTGATTTAATACAAAGGAAATAGGTGCTTTATTGCTACTTTGTGTTTGTTACTCTGACAGAACTTCCAAGGGCTAACGACCAGGGGGAATCTTCTCGCCACCTCCTCCGTTTGCATGAGCGGAGACGGTGGACGCAGCAGCGTGGGTGCTTCCCTGCGGGAGAGCCACCAGTTAGCAGAGTTTCTGTGCAGCAGTAGGTTCCTCGGTATTTAGGAGTGAAGGACTGTGACATTGTACCACAGCTGCAGAGCAAAGGCACAACAGATTAAATTGTAATAGAGCTGTAGAGCTGTAGTCAGCTCTTCCTGGAAGAGTGACTTAATACGTAGCAGGATTAAAGAAATCTGTTAGGAGCAGGCTGGTTCCCAACTGGATACACAAACGTCATTGCCACGACTGTAAATAACGTATGCCATGACGTATCCTTAGTTTCCACAGCGGTGCAGAGCTATTCCCCCAGTTCAGCGTCCCGGCTCCTGACAGTGTTGAGTTCAAGCACTTTCGATCTTGTGACTGCCCGTATCCCTGACCATATCCCTCTGTGATCCCTGCGAAAGAGGGAGACGGCCTCTGCCTTCCGAGGGAAGAGCGAGGCGGAGCGCTTGGGACAGCACTGTCTCTACCTGCCCTTCAGAGGAAGTCTGAACTGGCCCCAGGTTTAAGCAGAGTAGAGAAGAAGCGGCAAGAACAGCAAACACGTAGGAAAACTTACTTGGGTGCTAGTTTTGTTTCAGTCTTCCTACAGAGCAATAGATTAAGCATTAAGAATTTTTAATCACAGCTTATATGCTTTGTTGTATATTGCAAATCATTTACTATATTGTGTTTCACTTATTATTTAGTGAGCTTTGGAGTTCATTAAATATCACAAATGAGCCCGTCTGCTCCCATATAGCGCAGTTTGGTTGACTTGGCTTTAAATACCAGAAGTTGTACTCTCTCTTGAGCAGTGGTAAGTGCTTGTGGGACTTGCAGAGCTCTGAACTGTGAAAGGCAGGCTTTTGCTCTGAGTTTTCTTTGAGCAGGGGAGGCGTTCGTGCTGCCTGTACGCTTATGTTCTTATCTGTGAAGTCAAAGAGCAGACATCACTGTTTCATTCTGGTCACGCTTGCTAATGATATTATCCAGGACTGTTCAGGGGACTCTTAGGAATACATTATTCCCCTCGTTTATATCGTTTTGAAGGTGGAAATGCCAACGTCAGAGAGGAACTGTGGCAGGAAGGGGATCTGCTAAATGTAGCAAGGGAAAACCATAAAAAATTGTGAGTGCAGCATAAATTAGAAGCATCTACACTCAACGTTTCTTCCTTAAGATGGCACGGCTAATCTGAATTTTGCAGGAGGATTGGATCCCTAATTGCAGTTCCAAACACGTGGCGATACCTAGGTACAGAGTCCTCAAAAGCAACAGGGGGGCTGAATTGGGAAGTGCCGAGCGTTCAGGCGTCGGGCTGTACAGTAGTGGGATATAAATGCCTGTCTTCATAGGCAATTGTAGAAAATATGGAAAAATACACTTGCCTTCCACTCTTTTCTCTCATGTCTGACATCAGGTTTTTTTTCGCTGTGCCTCCCGACTGTACGGTTACAGCCATATAACGCCCTGTGTCAGGGTCTGGTGACGTCCTTAGCTGTTCTGAGGAAAGTGCAGGTCAGATTCCAAGTGCTGGAGCTAAAGGCTTCACCAACAGAGATTTTTCTTGCACGTAATTTTGTAATTTGGAAGTCCTTGCACGCACTCTGTTGCTGTCTTTGTCCTTTTTAATTTCTGTAAATTTGTTTGAGGATCGTGGTTTGCTGGGCAAATTTCAAGACTGAGGATCTCTTCCAAGTTTTGTTTCCATCTTTGCCACAAGTTATTTAGATGCCCCTGGGCAAGTCCTTGGCCTCTCTGGGCCTCAGAGCCTGCTCTTTAAAATAAGGATAACACTTCCTTCACAGGGGGCTTGCGTACCAGTTTGCAAAGCGGTAGGATCGCTGGGTAGAAGGCTGTGTAAAAAAGCCTCAACCTTACAAGCCCTAGAAATAAGGGCAATCTGTAAACGCGAAATCCGCAATGCCCGCTTTTGCAATAATTTCTTCTGAAACAAAATTGTTCTAGAGTCAAAGAAAGTGGTTAAAAATACCTTCCCTGTTGTGAATGCTGTCTGCACTATCTCATGTGCCTGTTGATGATGAGAACTCCTTAATTAATAAGCAGAGCCCTCACAGAGTTAGTTCCAGACATGAAGCTGACAGTTTAAGAAACATTGATGGCCATAAGCCTTGTGCTTTCTGTGCGTAAACGACAGGCGCGTGTGCAGCTGGTGCTCAGCCTGTGTACGGCTTTGTGTTGGCAGACACCAAATGTAAGTTGCATTTACGGTGCCTAGAAGTCTCGGGGAGTGACATCCTGAAAGAAAAGCAAACCATGAACTCCCCAGCTCGGCGTTCATAGTAACTTCTGAAATGCGTCACGCTTATTGCAAAATACGAACATATCAAAACATTCGTAAGCTCTTTCTGCATTGCAGGAGGTTGCGTGGGATTCATGAAATACGACTGCTCTGTCGGAACTTCACGCAGCTGTTAGGGGAAAGTTCTCCACTCGTTATTAATTAGCTTCTGACTGAGTGTATCTGAGCCTTTGGTTACTATCTGAGTGTTGGGTTTACTGCATTTTTTGATTTAGGGAAAAACATTTAGGAAGAGAGTGTAGTGGGGCAACAAAGGCTCAGTGACTCTTACAAGAGGGATTTGACAACTTGCAGGACTGGCCCACGAGGAACAGATTAAAGACAGTACTTTACACAGAGGTCTGTGCTTTGGCAATGTAATTTTTTTGAGTGTGCATTAAGCCATCGTTTATATCAGATAAACTTTAGGAGGGGGAGAATACATGAACTCACCAAATTCTGTGCCAGAAGACATTACTGGAAGATAATAAAAATATGCAGGAAATGTGTTAAACAGTTTTTCCGTATAAATTTAAAAGAATCGGTGTCGAAATCTGACAAGTGTTTTAGTTGACATAGCCTTCTTCCTGTAACGCAGTGATGCCTTCGGAGCCCAGCCCATTTGAAAACAAGGTGGAAGATTAAATCAGCTGACAGCTGGGTCATCGGAATTCTTTTTTAGAAAGATTAAAACAATTCAGGGCTAAAGAGTACGAAATTAACCTAAAAAGGGTTGGGCGTTTAAGAAGCGTAGCTCTCGTAAGCGAATAATGGTTTGTGTACTCAAAGCAGCAGCGGAAACAGTCGCGAATTGGAGGTTATTGGTTTTCTGGAGCCAGTTTTGTGAGAGACCTGGATGTGTCTGGCTTGATCCCTCTCCCTTATCACGCCTTTCCCTTCCCCATAGTTTCTGACTGGCTTGAATCCTTCACACCGTGGGCTGTGCAGAACCAGAGGACTCGCTATGCGGATAGATAAAAAGGAGCCAGAAGGGGGTGAAACGTGTGGTTTCCATCAGCAGGTTCCGGGGGCTGAGAGCAGAGGTGGAGGAGCTGCTGTGGCTCAGACAAGGACAGAGGTGGCTGGGCTTCCTCCTGATGTCTTTCTCACTGGCAGTCTCCCTGGAGAACAGGATTGGCCACGCTTGTAGAGGATGAAGTGGAGTCTGGTGGTGGGAAGGGTTTTAACTCTGGAGCTGCGGCACTTTCGCAGAACTGGAATTCAGCGTGTTCAGCCCTGGCACTGTCTCTGCGTGGGCTGTTGCAGAGGGGCCGGTACTAGCTGGGGTTATATGTGCAAAGGTTTTCAAGCTGGGTTGAAATGCCAGCCCACCGCGTGCTTTGGTATCTGTATTTCCACTTTCTTCACTAAAAAGTTTAGCAACGTTTTCCTAGGCCAGTACTCTTAACACGGGTCATTTGTCTTTCACTTAACAGTGGAAAATTCGTTTTAACCTTTCCTGAAGAATCCACAGTTTCCTGCCAGCCCAGTTCTCTGCCTGTGTGCAGGGTGGCAGAGGGCAGAGGCTGCGGCACGAAGCGTTGAGTCCCAGCTTCTCCGCGGCCGGTGCTCACTGACATTAATGATTCTCTCAAGAATCAAGGTCATTTTCTTCCTGAGACGCGGCAGGATTGATTCTTAGGCCAGAGGCCACATCTCAAGCTTGCCGGTGTATTTATTCCCTGTCTTCACAAGAATGCTTATGGCTTGGACACAATTTTGGTTTTCAAAATAGTAATTTTGAAATGTCCATGCACGTGATGCACACTTCGCCTACGCAGAACTGGAAGCGTCGGGGATGCTGTGCATGTGTCCTGCCTTGCTGATTAGCCTGGCCTTGCCTATTTGTCAAATAATGGCAGAACGCGATCACGCCCCTCACAGTGTACAGCGAGAGGTTTCCCTGCCGCCTCCTCCATCCCCCTGGAGTTGTGTCACGGTAATATAAAGATTTTGAAGGTTGTGATGTCACCGGAGAATAAATACTGTGATGTCAGGTCACGGAGACACTTGTAAATTAAGCCTTTAATCTCCTTATGTGTTGGGTCATAGTCACTCCCGGATAAACCTGCTTTGCCTGAAGGTGGGGTTCGGGTTTTTTCTTACTTTTTAACTGTTCCCAATAAATTTAACTCAGGGTTAGCACATAATCTAATCGGGATCGGTTTTGAATTCCTTTGGTTGGCTGCTGAGCATGGCAAGGCAATAGGTGGAGCAGCACCTGGCTGGACTTGAACTGGTTTGGAGTAAATCTGCAACACGCCCGAGGTGTGCTTTAAAAGTCACCTCCAGAGGGCTGCTTAATTCAAAAACTGTTTGAAAGCCCTTTTACGCTTTTATTAAAAGGAGGAATAATGGCGATGGTTGATGCTGTTTCTAAAGTCTTGGAGTGTGTTAATTTTGTCTGGTTTTTTTCCTAAATCCATTCTGTTGGGCTATGCCATCCCTTCAGACTCTCTTGTCTGTTAGTGGATTAGGATCGCTGGACTTGGCCCAAAATTTGGCCCAAGAAGATGGCACTTGGCCCTGTTCCCTTGGCATTTGCCTGGTGTTTCCTTTGCTAACTTCTTGGGTTCTCAGGTGGGGGGGTGCAGTTCCCTTGTGGCAATTAAGCCACCCGTTTTAAGAAGGAGTGCTTGGCTGGATGGAGCGGGTTTCAGTAAATGCTGTACTTAACTGGCAGTTTGTCACCTCAGGCCGTTTTCTCACAGGCTTCTTCACCTGTCTCCACATAAGGTCATAGTGTCCCTCTCTTAGAAGGGAGGAGTGAGGTGCCCTTCTGTCCTCATGCACCTGCAGTTTTGGGCTCGCCAGAAGCCAGCTCAGTGTCAGGACCCTCCATCCAGAGCAGCCTTTTCAACCCCTCACGTCATACTCTGGCTGTGAAATGACGAGTCTGGTGTATTTTTCCTTGCAGCAATATCAGAACCAGTTATTTCAACAAACAGAAGATGTGGATGGGAAAACAGAAATCATCATCAAGGTAAGCTGGGGATGTCTCATATTTTATGAAAAGTCTTTTGTCCTTTGTCTTGTTCCATTTAAGGATGCAGAGTTTTTTTATCCTCGCTACAGAAGTCATGTATTCTGTATCTGGCCTTGCCTTCTGGCAGAGACCCGAGCTTTCCCTAGCAGGGCTAATGCTCCGTTTGAGCAGCGTGTGTCCCCTTTCCCACGCCTTCCAGGTTTCCACAATCCTGTATCGTCATCTGGCCAGGTTAATCAATCTCACTCACCTCCGAGTCATGGTATTGCAGCTCTAATGGATAAAACTCTTCCTTTTTCTCCTGTGAGCTGGTTTTCAAAACTGCACGATTCCCTCTGGCTTTCGGAATGGGAGTATGAGTTGAGTTAGTTCAGGACCCGTGATTTAAGCCCTTATAGCTGTATGTGTTATTCAGGAGTCTTTCTAAGGTCTCCAGGTACAAGTGCACACACTGTATATTTTCAACATTTTCCAGTACTGTACAGCTTATGAACAGCCTCAATGAAGCATCCCTTTGGGACAGGCTTTGCAAGTCCCAAAGAGCAGCTTTAAGCCCCTTTTTGGTGGCCTGGATCCCCGGCTGTACGTCAGGAACACAAATACAGTTCAGTCACACCGACTATTAATTGTAGGCACGTTGGTAAGATGTGAGCAGACGGTGCGATGAAGTCGGTGTTAATCAGGGCGCTGCCTGTTAGGTTGGTTGTGCTCAGAAGAGAGAAGGAGTCGGTGAACTAAAGACGCCTGCGATACTTTCACAGCCGAGAAACCCTTCCTGTCACAGCCTCACTGCTGCTCTGACGTGCTAATGATTTGTCAGTAATTTAATGAGTTGGGAGTGGAACGCTCTGTGAAGTGCTTTTTTTTGTGGTAGTTCAATGATATTTCCACCTAAATATACAGGTTATGTTAATTGATGTCACTGATAGAAGATTAAAGCGATAGACACAAAAACATCCTTTAAAACCCAGGTGTGATTTTTCATCCATGTATCCTGTCTCGCCTTACGTCTAGGTTTAAGTCCTTGCTCCTGTTACAGCCTTCTTCATTTTACTCCTCTGTCTTCCGTTTCCCTGTTGGGACACTGCTTATGTAGTCGTGCTGCTGACTGGCAAAGGAACGAGCCTGCTTAGCCCGTAGGAGCAGATCCCTTTTTCCTCTCAAAAACCAGGGAAAGATTAAACTGAAGGATCCCATCCTTATGCCTATTCTCGCTGTCCTTCCTCAGCCCCTCTCTCAGACATATATGCAGGATTATAAACCAAACCAAACCACCCACCAAATCCGCCTTTAAAACTTCAAATTTGAGATAAACTCAGAGCCTGGGTATCGGCGGCCTGTGCGTAGCCGGTACGCTGCTGTTTGGAACACACCTGCCCTTGGTCGAGACCACCTCCTCCTGAAGCCTGCAATAACCTGGCAGTGGTTGGTAAGATACGTGACCTGCGTGGAGGGAGGCATCTCTGTGGTGCTGTGGGCAGATTTCCATGACCACCCAGTATCTCCCCCGCGGTTTTGAAGGGCTTCTTGCCCACCAGAAAGGAAGACAGAGGTGCATTTCATTTTCCAAAGTGATCCCTGCTAACGCGGCAAGGAGGGTGTTTTGTGTTCGCGCGTTGAGGATATATTGGGAAATGGGGGCTTTACCGCTGCTCCTGCATCACATCACATTGCAGCAGCTGTGTTACACTTCGGTGATCTCCCTGTTGTTGTTATCTCTGACGTGGTCACTTTGCTGTCCGTTTTCACAGCAGTCCTGTGTCAACTGCGGCCGTGAGGCAACGAACGAGTGCACAGGATGCCATAAAGTCAACTACTGCTCCACTTTCTGCCAGCGGAAGGTATAAGCTTGTTTGTGAGTTGCAGATTCAGTTGTCTAGAGGGGGCTGTGTGACCCTGGGGAGAGCCAGGCGGCTCTGCCTGCTACCTGACGGGCCTGAGCACGGCGAGAGGAACTGCCCGTTCCGGCAGAACTTGCCGTGTCGTACAGGCAGCCAGAGCAGAAGCCTTTGCAGGGGTCAGCAGCCCCAGCATCCCGAACCCACCCTGCCCGGTGGACCTCCAAGCAAGGCTGTAGCGATGGGGCAGGTCTGCGGGTCAGGGTCCGGATCAAATGGGTCGGGAAGGTCCCAAGAGCTGCACACACCTTCTCAAAGGTGATCGAAAACTCAGAGTAACACCAGAAATGAGGGCGTGGACACCTCGTTGTGTGAGCTGTGGGGACCAGTTAGCTGGGAGCACTTTCACAACCCTTCCCTGCCGCTTCCTGGTTAAGCTGAACACTCTCGGTGCCTGTGCTCCGCTGCGTCACTGAGGACATAGTTCTCTTACTTGTGATGCTACAGTGGGACAAACCGTAAGATTTTGAACATGGGAGGTGGAAACAGATATGAGGAAGTACGGTGGAGGAACCTGCTGCGCTTCATGTTTCGCACAGGTTCCTTACAGAGGCCCTTGGCACCCAGCTTTAGAGGAAAGGATAATTTAGTCTGGCCAAGGTTACAGTTCTGAGGGCTGTCCAGGTTCAGTCTGCTTCAGCTGAGGCCAGGTGTACCGAGGAGCTGAAGAATTTTGACCGTTTCCTTTTGCCTGTAACGAAGTGTAATGGTGGCCAGGTTCCCTGTCTGCATAGCAGAAAGACTGCAAATTCCAAAGCATGAACAAATGCTGCTTGCAGAAAACTTACACAGTCTACCTGCCGCCTCCCCAGGCATCTCACGGACAGTAACGCCGCCCTGTTGTCCTCTCAGTACAAAGTGGCCTGGGAAGCGGCACCCAGTAGTCACCTTCTGTTCCCCCCCGAGACAGCTTGTCACTTCTAAGGGGACATCAGCCCATGCCTGTAGCTGGTGCTCGGCTCTGTAATAGGGTGGGGGACTTTGAAGTGCTTGTCGGTGACTGAATCCTCGAGATTCCCCCTGCGTTTGTGATCCATGATGTGCGACCTCTGAGTTGAGCAAGTTAGAGGAGTATTTTGTTAGTTCAGACTAGAAGTGAACCTACGTACGGCTTGGGAGGAATTGTATTCCTCTCCTTCGCCATTACTGAACTAAGACCCCTCGTACGGCGCTGTCCCTCAGGAGTGCTAGCTTGTAGAGAGCTATCTTTCAGCAGAGGGTTTAAGTCAAGGTTCTGACACTGTTCTAGTAAAATTTTCCACGACCTAACTGACACTGATGTCCTGGATTGGTTTTTGGGTTGCGAAGCCAGCACGCTGCTTAGTTTGTGTCCGCCTCTAGCATTGACCCAGTGTGTGGCTCCTTTCCTGTCCGTCGTTCGTCTTGTTTGGCCGAGCGCTAGAGCCCCGCTGTAGCCCACCTGTGCTGGAGAAGGCGCGTCTCAAACAGGGCTTCTGTTGGGGCCCAGTGTGCTTTTGCAGGCTGCGCACTTCCCAAGGGCCCGTTCTCTTCACGGCCTTTGCATCTGCTCTTCCCTCGCAGGACTGGAAGGACCACCAGCATATCTGCGGCCAGTCGGCCACAGTGACGGTGCAAGCCGACGAGGTGCACGTCGCGGACAGCGTAATGGAGAAAGTCACCGTCTGAGCACACCTACCTCTTCAACCGTTCACCAACAACGTGGTGCGGCCGGCTGGATCGGCAACCCGGCGTGAACGGTCTGTCCTTTACAAACCACACTCCTTTCTCTTAGCGAACTCATTTTTGAAAGACTTTTTGATACTGTGACAACATTTGCCTACTCCCGAGCCTCTTGCAAAACTTTGAATAACACAGAGACTGTGAAAACCTCATCTGGGAAAAACATCCCCCCCCCGCCCCCAACTGCAGCCAAGCAGCTGGGAGCCCCCTTCGGCTTAAGGAAGCTTCGACTTTGCCAGACTGGAGCCTCCACCATGTGGATTGCAGCGATCTCATCATCTCTCTCGAGATGGAGCTAACGCAGGTGCTGCAATGAGATTTGCCAGTGTGTCCTTCCCCCCGTGCCTCCCTACCTCTTGTTTGAAAAAAGAAACGAACCTTCATTTGGTTTATTTAATTGCCTTGACAAAGTCAGTACAAGTTCTTAGTTTGCCGTCGGAAGGACTTTTTTTTTTCCTGTGTTCCCTCTGTGCTGGGCAAATTTGGAACACACTGGAGCTTCTGCACTTGAACATAAGTGAAAAATACCATGTTGTTAAATAAAATGCGGTGAAAGCATGAGCATGCCCGGCGGTACCGTTTAATTCCCACGGCAGCACTTTAACGTACTGATAAATGCAGGAAGTGGCTCCAGCGTGGCTGTCGGGAGCTGGTGCAGCTACAACGCAGCTGCGGTTACAGGCGCGCGTCTTTACCCTCCGTCCCCGCAGGAGGCCGGCTGGGACGTGGTTTGTTCGGGAAGCGCGGTCTCATCCTGTGGCGCCCCTCGGCTGTAGCTCGTAGCGGCCAGCTGGCCAAAATCGGATCTGATCAAACCCAGAATAGGAGTATATTAAGCGAGCGCTGTCCTGTCCCTGCCATTTAGCAGCTACTAATTAAAGAAGCGGTGAGCGGTGAGCATTAGGAAGTTATTTGCTTCGTTCACTGCAACAAAATAATTTAATTATTAATGTACTTCTTTAATAATTTAGGCTAATCAGACATCTTTATTCGTGCTTGAAGATTAACGCCCCGGGCTGGAGGAGTCTCGGTAGACACGCACACCTCGCTGGTGGTTTTTTTTAGCCTCGGGCATAAGAGCTGTGAGGGGTTGCTTGTCCTGTCTGGTTGTTCACTCCGATTTAGTGTTGGAGGGCGAGGAGGATTACTGTTTAGCGTACACTCCAAGTGGGGTCACCTCTGAATCACAGTGACCCGACCCAGCATCGTAAATGCTGTCGAAAGGAGAAAATTCTGTCCGGAGTTGCAGGAAGGTAATAATAGAGAAAAACATGGTGGAAAATACTGAAGTCTTGCGCTAGCGGTTTCTGACAAGTCCACGCCGTGAATCCGAAAGCTCTGGTTACGTTACACCCCTGGTGTTACAAGGAGATGGAGGCCGGTTTATCACCTCTCGCAGCATTTGCTGCACTGCTGAGGTCTCTCCTCAGAAGCGCCCGTCCTTTCCGTGGAGGGCGGGTGACGGGTCTCCAGCAGAGGTCGGTGGCAGTTGATGGGTGTCACTCTCTGGCTGTTTACTGGAAAAGTTATTCCTCCTAATGCAGAGCTTAGTGGGCAAGGCGGGCAGCAGTGCCGACGTGCCCAGGGAGGGCGAGGAATTGGCGTCGGCAGGGGGAAGGCAGCAGCCTGCCGGCCTCCTCTGAAGGGAAGCGTTCCCGAGGGGAAAGCCAAGCACGAACTGAAGCAGGAGGAGAACAGAAATTACCCGTGTGAAACTCCTGGGAAGGAAAGAACAGGCAATTCCTTAGATTCCCGTAGCAAAAAGCTCGCTCCTCCTGCTTCCCAGAGTAATGCTCCGGTATTTGTAGTAGTTTCTTCTCACTCTGTTAAATCATGATTGCCTCTTTTCTAAAGCTTAAAGACAACTAGTTAATTGAAAAGACAGACTTAATTGAGCCCACAGTCATACAGCTAATTTACAGGGTTTCTTGCCTCCGTCTGTTGCCCATTAAGGTTCTGACTAAATGGAACAGCGCAGAACGTCCAACACCTCACGCTGCTGTGGGGTTACACCGCCCGTTTCTTTTCGGCGACCTGCCTCAGCAGCACCCTGGGGTAGGCGCAAAGCTCTCGGCACGACAGCGCCGCGGTGGAGGTCTGTGTGTGCACCAGATCCGCGAGCTGGCTGTTCAGCCGCGCTGTGGCCGGGCCAGCCCAGGGAAGGGCGGGCGGCAAGCAGTGCTGCTGCTGCTGCAGTCCGACCCCCCCTTAGCGCTGGTGTCTCCGAGCAGAGGTGCTGTTCTCAGAGGAGGCTGCCAAGTCGCAGGCTGGTGAAGCTGTGGGTCGAGTCGCTCTGATAAATGAGGGCGAGACAGCAGCGTCACGCATTAGAATGCGGCGAAGGTTGGCTCTGAAGTGGCACCTTTGGGGTGCTAAAGCTGCACTTTCAATGTCAAACACAGCTTTCAGCTGGAAGATATTTCTGTTGCTTCACCCCTTTGGCTCACCGTGCGTTCTCCACAGAGACCCGTCCCCGTACGGTACTGCTGGTTTGAGAAGCAGAGCTCTGCGTGAATTCAAGGCCAAGTACAGCTACGTGAAGAGGTGAGCTGAGACACCAGGTACTCAAGCTTGCCAGGGCTCCTGCTTGCGTAGGTGACGGGGCAGCAACTTACACAAACACAGAGCAAGTGCTCCACTGGCCTTGCTACGTAGTTTGTGGCCGAGTACAGCTGAGCCTTGGTTACTGTCTGACACTTGGCTTTACTGACTCCTTTAAGGGGAAAAAAAAAAAAATTGGAAGAGAGTGGGGCAACCTTCCTAAATGAAAAAATTGTAGGTATGAGTCACCTGTAATTAAAGCTCTCAGGGAGCTTCCCCTCAGAGCCCTGGCCTCTGGGGCGGCTGTGCCCCTACACAGTGGCAAACTACAGAACTGAAAAATCTACAGTAGAGTCACTGTGGGAATTTAATCTGTTTATGTGTTGATGACAAATTGATGGAGCAATTGTCATTCTTAGTCAAAGAAAAGCTTCAGGCCGCCCTGCAGTACTTTTTTCCTTTTGTTTCTAGGCAAACAAATCCCCCCTCGGAAAGCACCAACCCTACACAAAAACCATTACTCAGAAGATTCCTGGTTTGTGCAATAACCAGCCTCTTCCCTCCTGAGCCTCGGAGAGGAGCATTAGCTGCTCCCCCTGGCTACCCTTGGTGTCACTGCGCTCGCGTTTACCAAAAGGTAGAGGGTTTTTTTTTTTCTGCAGGCTGGAAATGGTTCCTGGCGGGTATCGTACGGCTGGATAAGGAATTCTGGAGAACTAGCAATAACGTCATTGTGCCTTTGGGTGGGTAAATCTAAAATTACTACTAGGCAGCCGCGTGCACTCTTACAGGGACCTCACGACTCTCATCCTCGCGTGTTCTGTGCCCCAGCAGCCTCAGCGCGACCCGTCACCATTCCCAAGCGGGGAAAATACAACAATTAGCCAGACCAGAACGTTGTTTTGTGAGCTGGTAACGAGTGAGGTGGCTGCGAGCCGTCAGCCGTCCTTGGGTCTCCTCCTCATCAGCCCGGCGTCGCTGGGTGCTGGGAGGGATGAGCGATGCCCGTCTTTCTAGTGCGCTGGGAGAGGCTGCTGCGCTTCAAGCTGCGGGATTACAGAGCAGTGCTACCCCACTGCAGTCACTTTAGATTTCTCCAGGTCTTGGCCAAATTTTGGCATGTCGCAGCCAGGGCCAGCCTTCCTGCCCCGCGGGGGTAAGGAATACTGGACAGGGCCGTTTTGTTTGGGGTTTTTTTTTTGTAGGACCTTAATGTCCCCTTGTCAAACATGAGTAAAATCAGTCTTTGGATGTAAAATTACCAAGGGTAAGGGGAAAGGAGGTTGCACAGGTAGATACGCCCTCATCTGGCATGTGAACATCTGGGAAATGAGCTTAACAGCTTGTGAGTAAAATGGTGCAAGGAAATGTAATTTGTGAGCCTCATCAATCTGTGCCAGGCTAAAGCTCTGCCCAGAGCCACTTCTGAACTACAGTGGGCTGAAGAGGGATGAATTACTGCACTTGCCCTTTCCTGCACCCCCGGGGGCCTCTTTGCCGGGGCGGAGGAGGCAGCCTAGCCCCGAGAGAAGCTCTGGGAGGCACTCGGTGTGTCCTAGCGTGCATCAGCAGGGCTCGGTTTTGCTCTGCACTCACGCGCTTGGTTTGTCCTCATGGTTTAAATCATACGGAACTGGTGGAGATGGGCCGTTGCCAGGCTGGGCTGCCGTGAGGGGGGGGCTCCTTCAGTAACACTTCTTGAGATGGAGCCGGGAGGATTCCCCCCCGTGCAGGGGTGAGAGCAGGGAGTTCGTCTGCAACTCTCAGGGCCGGAGCAGCTGCAAGCTTCAACGCGCTCCCGCCTCCCTGGATCGTGGCGGGGATGAGGGGTGTTTTACTTTGCCTAGTGAGAGCTAAGAGAAGCCCAAACCAGACCAAACACCTAAATCCAAAGCAAAAGCTGTTCTGAGAACCATCCCTGCTGTCTTGTGGTGTCTCCTGCTGCTCATGTCAAGTGCCAAGTGTTAAAAAAGTGGCTACGCCTGCAGTTTCCAGTGGGGAGAGTATCCGAGCTGTATCCACCGGTACTCACCTGTAACTCCTTATTAGAAAGGGCTGGGAACCAGCATCCTTCAGCTGCTGTCTCTCCTCCTTCCCTCCTTCCCAACAAAGACAGCAGGCCTTAGGCAGAAATAGATCTTTAATGAACTATACAAAAAATAGTCTGGTCGTTCCTTCTCCCCGCCAGTTCCGGTGGGCTCAGCAGAAGAGGCGCAAGACTTTGCGGAAGAAGTTCCTGAACTCCGCGTTGAAAATGGTATAAATGATGGGGTTGACAGCACTGTTGACGTAACCCAGCCAAGTGACAGTGCTGATGACTTGGGTGGGAATGGCGCAGGACTTGCAGAGAGCCCTGGTAATGTGGACCACAAAAAAAGGTGTCCAGCAGAAGAGGAAAGCACCTGCCAGAAGGACATTAAAGAGAGAAAGTGATGTGAATGTTAAAAAGGGTTTAATTTAACAAACGCAGCCTGGGCCAAACAAGAATGGAGACAGCTCAGAGTGCTTAGGGAAAAAGCAACAGATGCGCTGACATGTAGAGCTGGGCTTACACCCAGACAAAAAATTCAGCATGTCTTCCTCGTTCTAAACATTGATGAAAAGTCTAAGTTATGTATCGTTTTGGATTCGCATTTAAGATATGAGAAGTCACAGGTTTACCTTGACGAAGAGGTTGGATTATAGACACTGCACATATTTTCTTTCCCAAGGGTGGGGTTTGTGGGCACTACTCTGGCTCAAAGGGATACCGAGGTCTTCACTGTATAAACATCCTCTCACAACGAGAGATGGGTACGGCAGGTCTTGTGCCACAACCAGGCTGTTCCACAGGAACAAGGGGAGGGTGGGTGTTAAAACGAGTCCACACGTGACGGAGAGGGAGGAGGACCAAAGACATTGCACTGGGGAGGTGGAACAAGAGGGAGGTGGCTTTTAGCTCACCCTCACCTCCTCCAGCAAGGATAAAGCATGGTTCTCAGCATGACACCTCTCACTGCTGCCCAAGCACCCGTGCCTGGACAGTTTGGCTCCCGGTAGGGGAGGCCGCAAAGCGTGTGTTCACTTCGCCAGGTTCAAACAAGTCCTGCCAGACTGAACCCTGCTGCCGCCCCCCCCCCCCCCCCCAGCCATCACCGACTGCTACTCACCGACGACGACAGGCAGCACCCGCATGGCCTTCCGCTCCCGGCCGTTGATCTTGGCTCGCTTCTGACTGTGTCCTGGGTGTGAGTACTTGAGGTGTGGGTAGGAGACAGTCTGGATCCCATTGTTCATCACATAGTCCCCAGGGTGGTCAGAGCGGGCGTAAGGGTTGCACCCCTCTGGCTCCAGTCCGGTCTGCTTGCTCTCAATAAAGGTTGAGGGGTGATACAGCTTCCTGTTGGCCCCGTAGATGCTGCCCCTCAGCTTGGCTTTCCTGGCTTCTTCCCAACGCTTGAGTCCTTGGAACATGGCGCAGTAGAGCACCAGCATGACGGGGCAAGGGATGAAGAAGGAGCAGATGGAGGAGTACACGATGTAGTTGTCATCCTCCAGCTGACACAAGCTGGGGTCCCGGTTTGGGACGTTGTTGAGGCCAAATATGACTGGGGATGCTACAGCAAAGGCAAATATCCAGGTGGTGGATATAAGGATCAACTGCCGCAGGTCGATTTGTCGCCGGTTGTAGTTCAGTGGGATTGAAACAGCGATAAACCTGCCAATACAGGCCCCAGGTGAGTCAGTCCTAGTATGGTGGTATCACCACTGGTAGCATAAGCGAGTGGTCCCAAAGCTGCTTGCCACTGCCCTTCCCCCCTGTTAACTTACTTACATAGCCAAGGCCTGGGCTACAACCAGTCTCCCCGCTCAGAAGAGCGCCCAAAGGGACAGCTCTGGCCACCTCACACCACTGTGCTTTCAGCTTGGCCACCACAAGGGTACTGATGGGACGCAAAGCTGGTGATGGGGGAGGATGGTAGGGCAGAACACCCTCCTTAGGGGAGAACAGGATCCGGCCTCCCTGCATGGGACCCTTGCAAGGGCGTGTATGGAAAAGCAGCTTGATGCCAGGACACAGCGCTCCCTCCCCTGGCATGAGGAGGGGGAAGGCACTTACCGATCCACACTGATAGCACAGAGGTTGAAGATGGAGGCCGTGCACAGCATCACGTCCATGGTCATCAGGGCATCGCACAGCACCGTGCTGAGGGACCACACGCCTCCCTGGAACTGAAAAGATCCCCGGAGTCAGCAGATGCCAAGTCCCACTGCCTTTAAAATGACACGAAACAACTCCATGCCTGGGCACCTCAGCCACCCACGTTTTCCTCCAAACAAGCAGCCTGAAGTCGAGCAGTCCTGCCTGTGGCACGATACTCCCTTTCCAGCAAAGCAGTGGCACACGGGAATTAGCCCCAGCAAGAGTTCACAGCTTGCTTAGGGCTTCGCGGTTCTGGCCTGTGCTGTGAACCCGGCTGCTGGAAAATGGGAATGGAAGGAAAAGCTCAAGGAGCACAGAAATAAGTCAGGCTTCATTAAACCCTTCTTCAGGACATGGCACCAAACACTTGTCCAGACCCTCTTGCATCCAAAGCTGATGCACTGAATGTCGGTTTCCTTTCCTCGCACCAGGACCACTGCCTCTAGGACGAGACCATAAACAGATTTTTTTATAAAAATTCTAATTTTAGTACAAGAGAAGGTGCCTTTTTGTTTTTCCCTGTCAGTAAGAGAGGGGTTCAAAACCCCGCTCAGCTCAAGCTGAACCCCTCCATCCTAGTTTAGCAGTTGAGAGGAAGAAAGGCTCCCTTGTTCCCCCCGTATCAAACCCATATGAAGCTCTGTCATCCCACACCATTCAGAAGCCACGCCACTGTGCGTGGTCTGCAAGCACTGACACCAAATTAAATTCTTGTGAAAACCACTCAGTTGCAGGCACAACAAACCAAGCCGCTTGTATCTGTTGTAACGGTGTCTTGAGCCTGCGTGCTGTTTCTGTAAGGAGCGGGGCACAAAGCGGTAGTGTTGGCAGGGAACTGGGAGAGGTTATCTGGCAAGAAATAAGATGAGCTCAGCAAGAAACACACAAACTCTCCTGAGGGACAGGTCTGAGCTGTCTGAGGGTCTTTTTTTTGGAATGGAGCACGTATTTCACCTGCCAGGCAAAGAATCCTCCTCCCTGGAGGTTCAGACAAATCACATTTTGAGATGGTGCTGTTCCTCCTAAGCATCACCCTGTTTCAGTCCCGCTATGGCTGAAACAGGAGCTAAAGGTACTTTTAGATCTAAAGCTGTCCTCGCGTGATGACTGGCACGGCCACTCCCAGAGCGGTGGAGCACCTGAGAGCAGGGGCTGGGAGTCAGGGGTTCGCAAGAGGCTACTTACACCTTCGCTACAGGCACCGTGAGACTTTCTGATTTTCAGCGAGGTCGTTTCTCAGCCAGCGGCACAGACTCTCTGCACAGCCTGCGGCTGCGGACAGAAGGAAGGACAGCAATGGCTTAAGCTAGCACAGCCACCAAAACTACTTGCAGGAGTTTGTTCCAACAGAGTGCCGGTCTTGCCCAGTTGTAAAACCAGCCCACTGCTTTACCATTAAAGCACTTTTTAGGCTGATGCAGAAAAAGTATCAGCTCAAGCCCATTCCCGCTCCGTGCCAATGTGCCGTTATTCCCATGAGCTTGTTCAGCGCAGGCAGAGACCTGTCAATGCGCTCACACCCGCACAGGCAAACCAGGAGGGCTCAATGAGCTGTTCCTACTACGGCAGCAGAGAATTCTTCCTCCCAGTTTGTGGCTGCCAGGCAAACTCCACCATCCTCTGGGTCCCTCTGCGGAGGGGTTAGGTTAAGAACCCAAACCCTTATTCAACATGCCGTACAAATAGGTATGATTTTAGCTTGAAAATAAAGCGTTCAGTAGCAATGGCCGCTTGTCATGTCTGACTCAAACACAGGTATTTTACCAGCAGCTTGCAGATCTGTTCTCTATCACACTAATGCTTAGCCATTCAGCTATTTTATATATACTATATACACAAACACGCATACATATGTTTTTTTTTTTCTTTAGCTCATACTCCTTCACAGTCACATTAACACAGAAGCTTGCGGTCACCCTCTAAACAGGCCTACTGCAGAATTTAAGGAGCTGAGCCATTGCAAAAAGCACCACCAGCTCAGGGGAGCGCCTCTGCCCGGGGCCAGAAGCCCCTCAGCTCACGGCGGCTGTGGGTGCTGACCCCTCCCTGCAGCACCGCTTGCACAAGCCTCACCCCAGCACCCCAGCGCTGCTTGTTGGAGATTAACAACCGTGCTGATGGGACCTAACTGCTGCCAGGGAGGGTCAGAGCACACCCGGAGAGTTCAGCCCCTTTGTGAAGTCCCGTACATACAGAATATATATATCTCTATATATTCTTTATGTATTATATAGAATACACACATGTATAAGATCATATATAGTATACAGATAATAATAAGCTATAAATTCTATATGGCTGTACTATAAGATATATAATAAACATTTAGACATATTGTACATATATAGGGGCTTTGAAATGTTTTTCTATAATATATATTCTATATCAATGCAATAGATGATAACATTTTATACATTATATATAATTTATCCACATATTTCTACATATATGCTATATATGTAATAATGTATATTTATAAATTAGATTTAAAGGTATTATATTTATTGTTTAAAATCAGATTGTATACAAATAAATATAAACATAAAATGCTCCTGGGACTTTGCAAAATATCAAACACTATATATACTCTAGATATACTCTTACTATTATAAAAATATATAAAATAAATATTACTACAACATATATATCACTACATGTAATATATATAATTTACTGTATATTTTTATCTATATATAATGTGCTATATAAAAAATTTTTTATATTTATAAATATCTATAAGTCCCAGGGACTTTCTTCTTTTTTTATACACGAATAATATATTTTTATCCGTATCATTTATCAATGTATTAATATTATGTATTATACAGTGCATTAATATATAACAATATAATACAGAACATCTATAAATAATGTCTATATTATATATCCTATATTATGGTAGTATGTCGTAAAAGACATGTAACACATAATATATCATTACTATTTACTGTGCATTCATATTTACGAGGTCGGCATTGCACGTGTCTGTACGACACTGCTGGCAGGCAGAGAGGAGTGGATGAGCGGCTCGGCTCTGCCCAGCGCGGGCAGCCCTCAGCCTGCCGGAGGCCTGCCTGCGGAGCAGCCTGGGGGCCGCGCTCGTCCCCGTCCCCGGGCAGCCACACAGCTGCCAAGGCGAGGAGCACGACCACCGCCTTCCCGGGTTAGCTCCGTAATGAGCACTTCGGTACCAGACAAATACTGACCAACCTGGGGGGGCAGTTGTTAAGAAATGAGAGTGGGGAGCCAAAAAAAGGAATTCAGCATCTTAGGAGAGCGAGCAAAATGCCTGGCATCTGGCATGGGGGCAGCGGAGGAGGTGCCAAGGGCGGGGAGAGGCGTTCAACCCATGTGCCAGTGCAAAGTGAGGAGCGATGGGATGAAGCCAAGAAGAGAAATCGTTAGACCGTCGCTGTATTTGGTTCTAAAACAGGAGAATTAGGGAAAAGGGCTTCTGTTTAGTCTAAGTAACCCAAAAGAAAGCCGCCCAGAGAAGCAGGTGCCACCTCCCAGCACTTAGACGTGGGTAACACGACCAAGGCTGAAGGCACTGGAAGCACGTCCTCTCAGAGACACCTGCGCTGCAGGAGCGGTGCAGCCATGCCCGCCCAGCCCCGAGCAGCACCGCTCCTCAAGGCACACGGCCAGGGTACTTCAGGGGTAAGCCTGGCATTTCCACTTCTACCCCACAGCTGCTCTCCAGCCTCTCTCCAAAGCAAACCTATATTAACAGTCAGCCAGTACTCATTATAGCCTAACTTTTGCTGGCCTTGTGCATGGCTCGGGAAGTGGGTATAGATTTGTTCACGTATAGATGCTAAACAGTAGGCTCTGGTTTTATTCATCCCAGAGCACAAAGCGGAGCCACGTGGGTAACGCTCTCCACGTAATGCTGGGCAGGTGCAGCCAGGAACAGGGGGCAGGCAGCTCTGCAAGGATTAGTATCGGGCAGTAATGATGTCACGCACAGGATTATGATTAGTGGAGCTGTAAAGCCAAAGTAGACTCTGAAGAAACTGTTTGGCTATTTTTATATAGCCATCTCCTTGAGAGGTAGCTTGAACCTCCAGGGGAGGGCTGTATTTAGACCTGAATGCTTCATTCAGCCTTTTCTCTAGCACAGATCAGCCACCCCAAACTGAATTTGGGAGCTGAATCACAAAAAACAACCCTCAAAGTTTTGCCAAGATCACTGGGATCCTTACAAGTTCAGTTTGGATTACAAGAGAGAAAATTTTATTATGGGCCACAGTTTTCAAAACTTGTTTGTGATTTTGGGGAACTAATTGGTTTTGAAAAGGGCAAGAGCTCTCAGGCTGCAGCACCTTCAGAGGACACAGCCTGTGCCGTGAGATTCAAGTTGGGCACTCAGAAAATGCTACAAACCCTCCCCTTTCCCCACCAGTCCCCAGGACTCTGACTTCGGGGCAAGTGCTGGGAGAGGACTTCCCATTATACCGTGTTTCTCGCCTACCCACCTTAGCAAAATGTGCCAAGAACCTCTCTGATGGGTGAGTGACTTTGGATTAGAGGCATAGCTGGCTTTGCTGGGTCATGTGATTAAGTGGTACCTAATTACAAGAGGTTGCAGAAGATTAGCCCATCAAGGTACGCAGTGTAAAGCTTTAGGGATCATAAACAGCTCAAGCTGCCTTTAAGAAGTGCTCCGGAGCAACTCCGCTTCCATCGGCTTTTTTGCATTCTCTGCTTTTTCAGCGTGAGGCCCCTTGTGAGGCATCTCCAGCGATGCACCATCAGTAGCGCTGCTGCTGGGAAGACGCAGGCAGCTAGTTGCACAGCAAAACAGATGCTCTACAGGCAAGCCGTCTCCCGTAACAGAATAAAACAAAGCTGCAAATATAACCCCACAAGCCAGCCTACCTGCTACGACTTTTCTAAGGCTGATGACAAGCTCTGCACAGCTCTGGCGAGAATATAGTCTGAGCCTTAAATAGGTGAGGTGAGGCATATTAACCACCACACTCCAAACCTCCAGGCATCACTTCTTGGAAGATGGAAAACTATATGG